TTTTTTTTTTTTTTTTTAATTTTATTTTTGATGAATAATTTTTACGGAAAATATATTTTAAAAACGGATTTTTGAGAAAATTTCGAAATACTTATATAGTTATCATAAAATTTTTAAACAGTATTTATATAAATAAAAACCAAAAATTTAAATTTTTCTTTAACTTCTATAATTATTACTTTTAAATAAATGAGTATTCAAAGAAAATTTAAATTGGACTTTATTTAAATAAAATTCGCATAAATATGTATGTGTATACATATATATTTTTTCAATGTCGAATTTCAGTTGAAAATGAATCTGGAAACATTTTCGCGTTGCCTTTTGCGCTGATGTGTGTCAATAAAAAATGAAAAAGGATTTGACTGCTTTTTAGATGAAAGCCAACATATTTTATTTTTTCATTTAACTATATACTTCCACTCTTTTTTTTTAAGTTTTTGACAGCAAGCGTTATAAAAATAATGGCATTTCGCTGACCAAGGCAGTTAAAAGAAAAAAATTCAGTAAAAGCAGTTTAACAAAGTAACTGTTAATTTGGTTAAATGGCCAACGGTGGCAAAGTCATTTAAATAGTGGGTATCCCAACCAAAATAATACAAAGCAAACCAGAAAAAAACAGTTAAAAAAGCCAGCCTCACTCGTTAGCTATTTGTTTGCGCCAATAAAACGTTGCCACGCAGAGCAAACGGCGCTGGCGAGAGCAAAAGCTGCAAAACTATTTTTGACGGTATTTGCTGCAAACAGATGCGCAGCGCGGCTAAGCGCCAGATGGATGATGGGCTTAGCGCCTAGAATATGGCAATGGGACTAGCTATAGCAACTGGATAGGGGAGACTGCAGGAACTCTCCTTCCACTTCTCTCTCTCTCCCTCTGTCTCTCTCTCTCTCTCTCTCTCTCTCCCTCTCTCTCTCTCTGCCTCTCTCTCTCTCTCTCTGTCTCTTTTTTCGCTGTTATATTCGCTTTTTGTATTTGGTGATAGTTGCCTTTCGGGGCTCACTGTTGCACCAGTGCGTAATCTATAGAGTTACTAGTTAGTTGGCGTAACTTAGTTTGCTCACACCCACACCCACACCCACGCCCACACACAACACACACAGACACACAACTCTAACTTTTGGGCGAACCGCAAGTCCCCAGACCAAAAATTTGATTATAATCAGCTATGCGAGGTGCGCATGCAATTCAGTGCCTCAAATACGAATACGTAGACCTGAGCTGCCCAGGCTCAAAAGCTTGCCAAGCCAATATTAACTTAAGCTCAAATCGAAAATTTATAGTTTGACATAAATATTTTCTTATGTCTGCGATTTTATTAGGGTTTCTCCTTTTTTGATGAGAATGGCATGATAATTATTTCTCATTAGCTGGAAGCCTTTAAAATATTATGAACTATATATCTTTAGAAAAAAAGACTTGTCAGTAGGAGAGGCTGTTTGACCGCAGTATACCCTGGCAACAGAAATATTTAATGAAATTTCATGAATTATTAGTAAAATGACGGACTTAAGTAAATAATAAGAAAAGAAAATTTACATACAAATTTATATTTGTTCAGCTTTCTATCTTCTTTAACATTAATATTGAAGTTTTAACATTAAAGTTTTAAGGTAAATAAAAAACAAGCAATAAATACTACTCTTCTAGCTAGAGAATATATTTTTCTCCGCTGCTTAATCTAGCAAACTCTCTAGAGAGCTCTGCACACTCCATGGCGATGGGAATCATGAAATGGCTGTTACAGTGCCTGTCAATATTGAGCTGTTGCAGCTGGTCGTTACGGCTTTGACATGGCCATAAAGTCGGTTGATATCGTGCCGTGTCGTGACTTGGCTGCTGTCCTGCTGCTGGCAGGAATCTGCTTGGCTCCAGGTTGAGCACGCGTCTGTAATTCAATTAATGGACATTCAAATGATATAAACCTGCTGAGGCATTTTTAGTGCTGGCCTTCTTCTGAGAGGCGAACGCTCAGTTTCATTAGCAGCCACTGTAACTAGGATTGAGGTAATGTCCCCCAACATTTAACTACCCCACGAGCAGCACGTGTCGACTAACGAAAAAAAAAAAAAAAAAAAAAAAAAAAAAAAAAAAAAAACCAACGAAACGAAAAAAAAAAAAAAAAAAAAAAAAAAAAAAAAAGTAAAATAAAAGCATGCATAGAAATGGAAAATCCACAACTTTGCGATGCCTGGCAACGGCATTGCGGTTGCCCGGGCCAACGGCAGGGAACAACAAATTAAGTTCGTTAGCAGGAAAAGTGAAAGACAGTCAGTGAAAATTGAAAGTGCAGCGAGTGAAGAACTTAAGTTCAATTACACCAAATATATTTTCGATACGCACGATGAGTCAGCGCACAAAATTCATAATAAATACATCGGGTAACAGGACCACAACTAGTTCAAGTCAAAGACAAATATTTACAGCGAGCTTTCCAGTTCCCTCATAGGAACCTATAAAATTTCCACATTCACATTAAGTTTATATAGTGCTTCTCTTTTTTTTCTCTCTCTCTCTCTACTATATTTCCATCGTCAGTTGAGTATTTTGCTGCGCGCATTCCAGGCACGGAATTGGATGAACAAACAGCGACTATATTGGAGTTTCTAGAGCAAGAGGAGCACACGGTTATCTCGGCCGTGCATAATAAATCCGATGGCAAAATCAAATTTCAACATCGCATACCCAACGACGAAGTCTGTTTACTTTTCTACAAGGTGCCGCAGGTGGGCCAAGGCGCTGCCAGCGCCGGCAGTGGCCAAGTCGAGCCACCGTTGGGCATATTAACACTGGAGGGTGGCCTGGTTAAATCCATTTACAATTCCGTTTCACGTGTCTTTTCGCCACATGCAACGGCACGAGTAAGTTCCATGTGCAACAACTACAAACAGATACAGTGAACACTCGAGCAATGCACGGACTTCTTAAAAAGAGGGAGAGTAGAGTAGCGAGAGTAAAGGGTATACGATTTAAGGATGAAGGGAAGGGAAGGGAAGGGACTGCAATGAGCATGCAGTTGCTTGATGAGTACTGAGAGCTGAGTCTATAATGAGAACTGACCCTTCATGTCTTTCTCTCTGTTAGTTTTAGAGATAGAGTCGCGGTAAATATTGTAGGGTATATCTTTAGATAAGTATTCAAGAGTATATGTCATTTTGAAGCATTTATTCGAGGGTATATGAAATAGATACTCTAGCCTTTATATATTCATTGGTACATATATATATTTTCTATGATAAATACTTTGGCTTATATATTCTAAAGATTTTATATTAATATTGTACATATTTTATGCTACATATTCTTGAGTATATGTTCTAGTACCTCAATTCTACGATATATGTATATTTTAGTCTAGATATCAATAGGGTAATTATTCAATGCTATGGATATTTCATCTAGCTAATATGCGCTATGCTATTTATTTTATAACATACATATATTCTAGAGTGTATATATGGTATATTTATTTAGAGATTAAAGACTATAGAGGCCTTTGGCTTGAGAGTAAATATAGAGTAAATACACCCAATTGATATTGTAGTATTTTCAATTTTACTAGTCAAAGTTAAGCTTTTCTAGTCACTACAAAATTAAACTTATCTTTTTTTTTTTTCCATGTCATCTCTTAAGGATATATGTTTGCTCTACTGCTGCTTCACTGTAGCTGATTCGCATTCGCAGTGGCATTTGTAGTCGTATGTAGTTTATACGTTAATTCCCATTGGGCTTAAATTATTTTGCTGTTTGCTCAGATTCTGCTCCTTGGTCCCTCCGTCCGTCGTCAGGCATGCTGCAAGCAGCATTTTAATCGCATTTGCACATAATTCAATTCTTTTTGCAATTTCATTTTGTCAATTATATTTGCTTGGCAGCGAATGCAATTTGTTTGTTGCTCAATATATATTCCTCTACATATACATATATATACACTACTCGTCTTTTATTTAACTATTTGCCATTTCCTTTTGAAGCGCAACGAGTACAGTCCAGAGCTAAGTGGACTGCTGGAGAATTTGCACGTTTCGCTAGGCTCCACCTTGGGTTTACCTCAGAGCGGTGAGCGGGCGGGCTATGGCTCTCCATGAGTATCGAACAAATCAACTCAGATACCAAATACAATTACAGGCATAAGCAGCATAAAGGACGAAATCAAATATTGGAAACAGAAACTGGGTCAGAAGTCCAGTTCGCGCTTGGATCGCGAGACGGCGCAGGTGTTCATAGGAGTGTTGGAAAATATCGAAATGAAAATTAGGTAAACAGGAGAGAATATTTAATACATATTTAGATTTAATTTGAGATTTATTTTATGCTCAGCTCCATTGACACTGGCGGCAATTCGAGCAGTCGCATCGAGGAGTTCCTCGACCACGCCCACAATAGCCTGGACGAGCTGTGGCGCCTGCCCTACAACTACCCGCAGCAGCGCATGGCCGATCTGCTGGACATCATGGGCAACCGCCTGCTGGAGGCCTGCCTGGTGCAGCTGCAGGCCGAGGATATCTGGAGCCTCAACTCGTACCATGTGAACAATCTGATGAGCCAGTGCATGGACACCGTGGATGCCTGGATGCAGCTATGCGACTCGCTGACCCGACTGTTCTGGCCCAACTACGTGAAGCATCCGTGGCTGGGGGAGCCACACGTGCCGCGGCGCGGACAACAGTTCAAGGAGCGACTGGCCGAGATACGCAACATCAAGCAGCTGTACAAGCAGATCGCCACGCTGCTCAACGATGCCGAGCTGCAGGAGATGTTCCAGGAGCAGGCAGCCTTTGGCGGTGAGTAAGCGTGGAATACTCAATATGATTATAGCTAAAAAGCTACGAATTGCCATCCCCATCAGATCTGAATATATTCGACACCTCGCCCTCGGGCCAGGCCAAGTGGCAGAAGGCGCTGCAGCACTTCGAGCAGGTGCTGCAGCCCATAGACGAGCGCATGGCCGCCGCCTTGAAGTCGCAGCTGCATCATCATCTCAGCAATCCGCGCCAGGTCATCTTCATCTTCTCCAAGTACGAGATGCTGATACAACGGCCCGCCGTGCTCGAGCTGCTCAGCATTGAGCGCGAACAGTTCCTGCAGTCGCTCCACCTGCTGCTCCAAGATCTGCGCAAGGCCATGACGGATACCAACATGGAGCCCGACACGGGTCACCTGTCGGTCATATGCAACGAGTGCCGCTGGCTCAAAGTGGTGCAATATCAGATACAGGAGATCGAGAAAGTCAGCCACTTGATCAGCGGACGCGAGGGCTTCGACAAGGTCAATAAGGCCGTGCAGGAGATCAAGGAGGAAACCGAATCTCTGCTGCGCACCAATTTCGAAATCTGGTCGGGTCAATGCTCGACGGCGGTCAAAAGTGGCGAGCTGAGGTGAATATTGAATGCTAGCCCATTGGAAATAGAAATGTGTTTTTGTTAACAAGCAACAGGCAGCAGGAGGCGTGGCAGACCCCTTGATGGAGCTGACAAGCTGAGTCGATTTCAAAACCTAAACTCTTGAAACTGTGTTTGAATATCTATCGATATCTCCTAATTTAATTTTCATTGTTTATCAAAATCTACTTATGAAACTATATTGGGTACATATATAAAGCTAGAATCTCTAAATTCAGCATTGGTCTTATGATATATATATTCAAAATTTTGGTTTTATATAT